TTATTACCAATAGTATTTTTATCCTTGTATCTGGGGCTTGTATATGCTCAAAGCTAATAAGTCTTAAGATTTTCTAAGAAAAGATCAGAATTTGAGATGGTGGAGAAAATTTGTAGGTCAAGTGGATGGTTGTGGTGGAGTTTCGTGCCCTCTGAGATGGATGTTTTGTTTGTGAAGCTTCCATTGTTCTTCTGAACAGCATCATCAGCACAAACTTCAGTTCTGTTAACCTTGATCAAGATCGAGGTTAGATATCAGGTTATCGGTTTTTTTTATCATAGCATTTTAGTTTTTCAAAGGATATTTTCTTAATCCATATTTCTTTAGTAATATTCATTGTTGCTTGATTGATCGTTATTGCCTTTAGTTTGCTTTGTTATGTTTTTTTCTTCTGTTCCGAAAATAAAGCTATCTTGGAAGTTCTTTTTTCTCTTACTACGTCATTTTGGTAAGGCAAATTATTAAAGTTGAAGTGTTCAGTTTATCTGAGTTCTTATCCCACTGTTGTAGCAGAGGAATCATTCGTAAATAGAATTTACCATAAGCTAAATAAGAACCCCATCGTGCTTGTAAGATACGACAAGATTGAAATGAAATACTTATTCAACATTAGCAAAGATGAGGAGTGGTTAGCAGTGGAATTTACCTCTTCTTATTATAAAGCCTGTCATCTAAAGACAATATCGAGGCAATCCGCACAGGATGGATATATGCTAAGGGGACTGACTGGACAACTTCAGTCCTAAACATTAATGAAAATATTCAAAAAACTAATGTAAATAAATCTTTTCAGCCTTGTTCTTTAGTTCTTGATAAAATCATACTCAAAGTACACATAATTTTTTTAAAATCAATCAAACAAATTCACTTATATTGGTTATTTGAATCTTCCCATCAATGTTTAGGCCTGCAATTCATGTCATTTTGGCATGTGTATCCTGTGAGGATTGCCTTGATGTTGACGCTAAGTCACATTACATCTAAGCTAACAACCAAACGAATATTTATGTCGATAGAAAATATTATTATTAACTTTTCATAACAATGCCTACTCATTACAGATTGAATGCAATGAAATCGTTTATAAATAATGTTCACCACTTGTAGAAAGATATTGAGTCATTGTGAAGTTCATGTCAAACATACACCGTTTAATGTTAGTCTGTTATAATGATGAGTCATCTGCAACTTTGACAATATTTTAAACACATTAATCAATAATCTAAAAATATACCAAGATGAAAGTACAAAATCATTCTGGTGTACATTGGTTTTAGAAAGGTCACGGATTTATTCAGATTGTATTGATTTTTGTACGTCTGTTTCCTTTTATACAATGTTATCGTTGAAAACTACGAATAGATTTATGTCACGGAAGTTAACAATTTTTCTTCTTTTTGTTGCTCTCTTTTTTTCCGATCAAAAAGTGACCATGATCTATGAACAGTTTTACATAGAGGATTGAATATTTGTTAGATAATCAACAATGCATTTAATGGCTGTTTAATCCTAACATGAGACTCCGCAAAAGTGATCATCTACTATCTCGTTGAAGCTAGAGATGTAAACAATCTGATTCTGATCTTAGTGACCTGAACCCTTATAGCAAGACCTGAAAGTCTGGGAGTTATGTGCACTATATTGAGATGTTAGGTGGTTAGAGGCAGAAGCCAGGAAACCCTACTTTACCTAGGTTTCATATTAGTTGGTACTCATCGATAAGACTTATCAGTAAACTTACCATCTTCGGTTGATGCGTCCTTTTGGGTTCGAATTCGTCACTCAGCTTCATAATCTGAGATGTTACCGCTAAGCTTTTCCGCCCACAACCGAAATCCTATTTAACCGATATATAAAAAGCTGATCGATCACTGAGTAATGACCAATTTCATGTTTGTCTCGTCATCAGTTGTTGTCTAATTCAATTGGGTTCAGCCACTAGTCTAAGTGGTTTCAAACCTTATTGTGTACACGGACTTATAATTTCACATGAGAATAGTATTCATTGATACGAAATCAAACGAAATATCAATTTAAAACCCAGTACGATAAACCACTTGTAATAAAAGCTTTCGTCATTTTGGATTTGTGATAACATGATTGTATAATCAACTGTTTCGAGACAGAATTTCCGAAAAACCCATAACTTGACCGACAGTCAATCAATAATTCTTGTCGATAATATTAAAAATGACAGTGTGATCACACTGCATCGGTAGTTAAGTGCAAGTTTTTTAAATCTGTATCTTGAAAATATCTTTTTCATCTCAACATCCAAAACCCTGTCCTGTATGGGTTTGTAAATAGATATCCTTTAGATGACTCTTACTAACGACTTCCTAGTTCCTATCAGGTTCATAATGTTAGCACTTTTAGTAATATATTTGATAAATTATTACTAAATTCTTACCAGATACAGGTTCGTACATTCAGCTTCGGATTCTACTTTAAATGTGAGGATTATTTATACTACCTGGTTACTGAAATTGAATTTGATGAAATGGGCTTCGAACTTTCAAGTTAATAGTTTAAATTCGAATGCTCTGACATCTGAGTCACAAGTCTATTTGGTGTATATTTGATTCAGTCAGAACTGAGATCAAACGAATATTTAACCTTTTGCTACGATTTTATCCATAGGAAAACACACAAACCCCGTTTGTTATTTCATTAATTGCGTAAAGCTTTTTTCTGACAGTTTAAAATTAAAAATCGACTGTATAGAACAAAACTGGGTTTGTAGTTTGACAGTAATTTGTTGAAACACAATAATAAGTTTGGCTGTATTTTTAAATTAAGTAAAATTGCTTCTACTGAGTATGATAATTTCACTCATTTTATAAATGTTTTTTGTTTCTATGAGAATAAAAGATTTTTGTAAAACAACAAATAGATTTTTTATTTCGATTCTTAATTTAAACATTGCAAGTATACATATCTAAAGTGATATCATAATGATATTCGAATTTTTCATATTGTTTTAATCCAGTAAAATACATGACAGATGAAATCGACGAAATTCATATTTTTTTCTCACTGTGTTAAACGCAGTTTCATTTTCTAACTAATTATAACCTTTTTGTACGTTGGATAGTGGTCAACAATGGAATCTACGACTCAACTGAACTAGCTAGAAAATGCAGTTTAGACCTCTTACATTGAACATGAACTATGAGTCATAAAACCATTAGGTCATTTTCTTAATTTGTTTCTTTATATGCTGTTGGTATCAAGAAAATTGTTAGTTTGACCGACATAACAATCGGCTTCCTATTAAGTATCTGGTGTTACGGAACGGATGAAAATAAGGAGAATGAGGCACTGAGAAATTTCATGTTTAAAAATTTTATTTCGCTGGTAGAAGCATGAATTACTTTCATCGTTGAGTAGGTTATCGCTTTTCCTTTACTCCATCATTTTTCAATGAACACAGTATATCTGAACACTTTTTCGTCATAATCTACATGTATGCCCTAGTCCGAACGTAACACAACTCTTCTCTTCTGAATTACGATTAACTAAAGCAGTTCCACAATAAATGAACCTTTCATATGTAGATCATCCATAGAACCTATTAAATTCCAATTCTGAAAATTGTACTAAGTATGCTACACTCATGAGGATTATTAAAATTACAAGGAGATTACAAAGAGTGCCAACAAAATATGGTAACCTGGGCTAATGAATGTCAACATTTAACTGAATTGCTTATCATTTTAAGAAACAAAAATAAAACGAGTTTCATAAAATCACATTTTATCTAAATTCTATATGATATGTCAACTCATGTTGATCGATTATTTATTGAATTCATATATAATGTTTATAGTTTGAAATAAACTTTCTCATCATAACTTATAACATTCAAGCTAATTTAGATTTTACTATGATTTAGAAGGTGATAACATCGAATGAAAACATTCATATTTTGCATAATTCATCATCTAATAGGATTTAAATTGAACATTATACTACTATATGTTGTTCAATTATATTGCCATTTAAAAACTACAATACATATTGTTCAACAATAATAACCATGTAGAATATAAGTGTAGATTTCTCACAAAATTGAATACACGCACTCACTTATTAGTCCTATCTTGGTCATATTTATCATTATCGGTACATACTAAATAGTAAAATCAATCCAGATCAAGTATACATACATACATGCATGCACACAATATCACATATTATTGGTTTCGTTTATGATAAAATGATGCCTGTTGAATCAGTAGATTTAATAACGTACACATACACAGGATAAGAAAACAAAAACACAAATAACATCAAAAACAATAAATTATTGTAATAATCAACGTAATTGTTTCTTTTTTCATAATAATAATGATTAATCATATTAATTTTTAACAATTAATTGACTAAGACGATCATTTTTTTTATTTATCGATAAAAAAATAGGACAAAATTATAAGCATGCTGTGTATTGTAGCACAACAAAGCTGGCACTATATTTGATAAATGTTTTGTTTTTGATTTTTGCATTTAAACATAATTTTTATTGATTATTGGAAAAAAAGGTAAGTAAGCATTGAAATTAAAATGAGTAAAAATATGATGGTTTTTCAGAAAGAAAGATATTCCATACATATATATTCATTTGCTCAGTAGCAGCCAACTAACTCATTAAGTATTGAAAATAAAGTAAACATTGGTTTGACATGCATAGCAAAAACTGATTTTTTTAATTCTCTATAATAAAAAAATCAATATGCTTTTGTCCTAATACAAAACAGTTAGAACAAAAACACTGTCAAATAGCTGTATGCATTATAATGATTACAAACTGCTTCGTTGTTTGGGAAGTTAAGATTTTTCTAGTCTCCGGTTATTTCAAATAAGAAAATGCATGAAAATACAAAAATGGGGTATTTAAGTAAGATTATTGTAATGTGAAAAGAAGACCAAAGTCAGTAACAGTGACAGCAACTATGACACGGTTAGCTTATATATATATATATATATATATATATATATATATATATATATATATATATATATATATATTAGTCAGTCATATTCATTGATCTAACTTACGTTATGATGTCAATTATAATGATGGAACTTACTAAATGTGAAAAGACTTGAATAATGAATAAACATACATACACATGTATGTTTCTGTTTGTTTCTTTTAATGTGTATACAAATAATATTATGACAAAAGATGTGTATCATATTGTGATTAAGCGATAGAAAAATCATTTGTGTTGTTCAAAAATTGGTTATTTAATTCAGACACGTTTGAATGGTCGAATTCCATTGATGTTTTCATTGTCATATCTTGTTTTATATCAATAGTATCGTCTTCATTAGTATCACCATCTTTATTATTAAGATTATCATTATCATTACTAATTGTTAACATATTTGTATCAGTGGGATTAATATTGTGATGGCTTTCAAAATTATTCTCATTGAAAACATATTCTTTTGCAGTGTTTAAAACAGATTGAACCAAAGACTCAGCTTCATCTTCGAATTCATGATTTTTTATATTTTTAGAATTTTCTAAATTCCTAGTGATATCATTGTCATCATTCACTGACATTGAATCGAACACATCCTGTTTTTGTGGTACATTATTCGCATTTATTAAATTAGTGTGTATATTTTCCGAAGTGATTACATCAGTGATATCTGAATTAAGTGGACTATCAGTCTGATTTTCATGGTATGATAATTCAGAATTTTGATGTTGATCATTATAATCATTTATATAAGTTGAGTTTTGTGAATTTTGTAGTTTATCAACTGATTCTTCAAGTGTAATCATGGTTTCAGTGTCATTTATTTGTTCATGATGAATACCTATATTCAGATCTTCAGTATGTTGTTCAGCGTCAGTATTTTTAGTGGTTTCTTCACCAAACACTAATCCGGGAGTAAAATGTGACTCATTTGACAAGTAATTATATTCCATACCTGGTTCAGCTAACCTGTCCACTGCATCTGTGCGGATTGATCCCTCAAGAGACATATCATTATTTACATCATGTTCGATTAGTGAAGTCTTCTCAGTTTGTTCAGCGTGCATGTCTTCATCTAGATCAATAGATTCCGTATTAACTGGAGAAACACTGTGAACTGGATTAAATTCTAAACCTGGTTGAGAATAGCACTTGACTGACTCATCCTGTATTACCTCTTCATCAGTTGGTATCGCATGTTCTACGTTTTCAGAAGATGAGGTATTCTCAGTTTGTTCAGTGTTCATGCCTACATCTAGATCAATAGATTCCGTATTAACTGGAGAAACACTGTGAACTGGATTAAATTCTAAACCTGGTTGAGAATAGCACTTGACTGACTCATCCTGTATTACCTCTTCATCAGTTGGTATCGCATGTTCTACGTTTTCAGAAGATGAGGTATTCTCAGTTTGTTCAGTGTTCATGCCTACATCTAGATCAATAGATTCCGTATTAACTGGAGAAACACTGTGAACTGGATTAAATTCTAAACCTGGTTGAGAATAGCACTTGACTGACTCATCCTGTATTACCTCTTCATCAGTTGGTATCGCATGTTCTACGTTTTCAGAAGATGAGGTATTCTCAGTTTGTTCAGTGTTCATGCCTGCATCTAGATCAATAGATTCCGTATTAACTGGAGAAACACTGTGAACTGGATTAAATTCTAAACCTGGTTGAGAATAGCACTTGACTGACTCATCCTGTATTACCTCTTCATCAGTTGGTATCACATGTTCTATGTTTTCAAAAGTTGAGACATTATCAGTTTGTTCAGTGTTCATGCCTGCATCTAGATCAATAGATTCCGTATTAACTGGAGAAACACTGTGAACTGGATTAAATTCTAAACCTGGTTGAGAATAGCACTTGACTGACTCATCCTGTATTACCTCTTCATCAGTTGGTATCGCATGTTCAATGTTTTCAGAAGATGAGATATTCTCAGTTTGTTCAATATACATGTCTTCATCTAATTTAATAGGTGGATTATTAGTTGACAAACTTTGTGTTTCATCTGGATTGATTATACTTGCATTGAACTCTTTCTCCATAGTTTCCTCGAATACATTTGTTTGTTCATTAAGTCCTGAAATTACATTATTTGATATATTCGAATTTTCATCAAAATTTATTTTGTTGTTTGTATCAGTAGGTTCTGAAGTAGGAAGTTCTTCATTATTAGATAGATTGTGCAATGCACTAGGTTCAGTTAAACATTCACTTCCCACGACCTGCTCATGGATTAAATCGCATATCAGTGGTGAGGGTTTCATTTCTTCCTTATGGTTGAAATTCTCATTATATAGATTTTCTTCACCTCGTTGTTCTACGGAATTATTTTCAAAATCTAGTCTTTCAGTACTGTCATGTTTTTGGATATTCTGATGCATAAACTCTTCTATCTCTTGTGAGAGAATAGGTACTGTTGGATTTTTTTCTAGTACTATATCTTCTTGAGGTATTTCAGAGTGGAAACTATCTTTTTTGAATAAATCGATTTTATTTTCAAAATGATGCTTAGTATCATCAACTAATTTATTTTGATCTTGAGCAAATTTCTGCTGGTCCACCACTAGATCTGAATCAGGAATTGAGTGGTTTATTGTTCCTTGTAGTTGTTGTTTATTAGCTATTAGATCTTCAGTGTGATTGAAATTCGGATTATCATGAGTAAGAGAACTATTTGTTTCTGATACAGTTATAGTTTCATGAGGGTCAATATTTTCCCGATTTGATAAAACACGATCAATTAATAATTCAGCTTCTTCCGTAGAGATCGTCCTCGTTACTTTATCAATGGATGAAGTTTGAATTGGCTGCTTCTCATCTTTACCCGATACTTCACAAAGGGTGGTTTTGCTAGTGCATTTTACATCATATTGTTCCTGTTGTTCACTTGAATGTTGTAAACTATGATCATTTTGATTTGGTTTAACTACAGAGTTAGAATAACTCTTTTCATCATGTTCATTATCAAAAATCTCTTCATGCTTTCTGTCTTCAGGAATTTCTTCGGTTGGTTGCAATCTAGTTCTTGTCGGCATAGTACTTGATCGGTTCACTGTGGTACCACCAACATCAGCTGGTTTTTTATTCGACCTCCAGCTCCAACGTTTACGTATGGAAGTTGAATTTGAAGTTGTTGTAGATTTCTCATCTTTATGTGAATTGAATCGTGACAAAATAGCACCCATGGTATGACTAAATCACACCAGTTAGCTTGAACAGGTCCTTCGAAATGAAAATGACTGATTTATAAACTACTTCAAATCTGGCTAACAAGTGACCAATCAGATTAATAATAAATAATATTTAAGTTACCAATCCGTATTTTAGTTAGTTTTATGGATAACCTTGATTTTTGATTGGTTTAACCGAGACTGGCTGAAATAAATTTTGATGTCAAAAATTTTCGGACTTAGGCGTGTATTGAGTTATGTGTATTCTTTCAATATAGTGATTGTAAGCCACAGTGCTATCGAGACAAATTTATTAGACTAATAATGACGGAAATTGGCACTTGATAGGAGAATGGTTAACAAGAAAATTCACTTGTATATCTGATGAAATTGATGTTTTCTCTACCTTTTACTGAGTTTCGTACATTTATCTGTGTAGTAAATATACCTAGAATTTTCGTGATGATTAGAAATAATTTAAGGTAACTGGAAGTTAAACCAACAAATATTTTAATTATATTTGTTGACGAAGGATAAAGGTCCGGAAGATAAGTTGCAGGAATTTGTGAGTCATGTGATGAGTGCAACTGTGTCTTCCCACCTTTACGTAAAACCTTGTCCAGCATGAATCTTCGAATCCATTTAATCGAAAAATATATTCTACTTATTAGATAAATAACGCTGAGGAATTTCAGTGTGTTTAAATATTCAATAGATCTAATGTGTTTAGCATTAGGTGCTTGAATCTGTCTCATCTTTTTTGGGACTCTTAAACTGGATGTAACTGGTTTCCTAGATTGTTGCCTACTCAGGGATTCGAATCCGTTACCTTTCTTTTCAACCACACAATTCGTTTTCATGTGACTTACTGAACCCAGATAAGCACTTCATTGTGTTACTCTATAGATTTTATTTTCAAGTAAACTCTGAAAAGCAGGTACATTCAGATGACAAGTCCTAAATGAGACAAAATGCACATCCTGGATTCCACCGATGATTTTATCTCGTCTGTTCCATGTAAGCTTGTGACAATGACTATGCTGAAACAATTTACATAAGATGCATATATGCCAACTAAGAGTGATAAAAATTCAGTCAAAATATCAGAGACGGAATAATCCAAGTCATTTCAAACCAAATTTAATGTGTTTGAATTTTCACTTAAAGCTTTTTCGAAAATGCTAAAACCGAATTTATATGTTTTTGACTCTAATTAGGTGTTTTTCTAAAACATAATGGCAAAACTGAATATTTCTTATTCTTTTTGGTTTATTTAACTCGAAACATCGTTTGTCTCGGTATTTCGAAACAGAAACTTCTGAAAACAAAGTCTACAATAAAGTTTATGATGAGAAAATGGAATACACAGTGTAGAAATTACACGTTCATTAACATAGTTCCCTTTATATCTTAAAAAAAGTGAGAAGTAAGTAGCATAATACGAGAATTGATTTTATTACATCAAATTCTTGTCAGCTACTATTTACAATCTACAATATTTTAAGGTCAAACTTATTTATAGTAGTTAGCATAAGTAAACAAAGTTAATTGAATAAGTGAGAATTTCAACTATTTTAAAATAGTTTAAATAGGGAGCTGGTCTTTGATAGACGGCTGTTTTGTCTTAATATGAAACTTCCTAGAGACATGTATCATGCGCAGCCTAATGACTAGTTTCAAGATGTAACTCCTGGAGATCTAGTGAGAGGCCATGATCAATTGAGTTCATTCCGTGTCGGATGTGAAACGGTCATCTATGATAGACAACGGATAAGGATCAATCAATATCGTGAATCACTTGAAACGAGCCATGTACACTGCTAGATGTCGACTCAGTAGCTTGGGGATTAAGCGCTCAAGAGCGAAAATGAAGGTCACGAGTTTGATTCGCATATATGGCATCACAGGACGAAACGGCGTTCCTATGCTTCTATATTTTCATTTGGTGATTTAAACCATACGAATTCTACAAACTCCACAACTCCCGATATACTAAAACTTTATAAAAATACAACGTATAATGGACAGACAGTTTGTAGAGATTTTAGATTTACTAAAAGGCTATTTCTGATTAAAACAGAAAATAACTGACGATAAGCGATTATTCAAAGGTATTAAACTGTTGTTTAATTCCTCTATTCATATCCACGACTAACAACGACGTCCTCACATTAGATTTAATAATTAAATATTTCTGGAAATGTGATGACAGAATCTATTTATAGTTACTATTTTTAGTCATTCACTCAAAGGATACTCGTTTGCATACGCATTCAATTTGTAAGTTTTATTCATTGAGATGTGTTTTTATTCGGTTACACCAACAATTTCCAAGCATTTGAGTTGAAATTTAAAACAAACTTATTTAGAACTGTATTAGGCTTATTGTCGCGAGTACCAAATTATTCAAATATGAGTTGATTAAGTAGATAGAATGAAATTATTATTTATTTTACAGGTATCTGATAGATTAACAAGTGTAACACAACACACGTGTACACGTTTGCATCCAGGTCATGATTTGAAAAAAAAAATACAAATAATTGCTAAATGTTTTCGACAGATTTATTTTGGATTCCATTAATTAAATCACTAATATATATATATATATATATATATATATATATATATATATATATATATATATATATGATAGAATTAATATAAGGTCATAATTCATAATCACATCCTATCATTATCCATATATTAATTAATTAGTAAAAAAATAATAATACATTTACATTTGAAGTACGTCCTATCATTAAGTTCTATATTGTCTAAACAACTGATATTGTTATGATGAATTTATATGAATTCAAAGATATGTGAATGATGAATTGTTTGATAATAATTATGACCAAATGATTGATTACTCATAGATCTTAAAAATTAACACAAAACTTGTAGTAAATTAAGTATAATTAAAGATTGTATAATTCATCAATATAGTAGAATAGCATACTTCCATTGAAAATGTTGAACACATATTTAATGGACAATGTGATTAAAATTCATTGAAAGCCTAGTTTGATGATTGAATTGATTAAGTTTGTTTGATTATTTAACCAATCAATAGATTTGAGGCTTTACAATAAGGATCATATCAACATTCTCTTGACCCAATGGTGTTCATACTTAATTTCAATCAATTTGTGATATTGTTCGACCATCAACCAATGCCTATGGTAGATAACCGGGATCGAATTCCATTGATCACGGTTTCTCACTGGAAATTCGAAAAATTCCACTCAAAGCTAACCACTACTAACACTCAATCTGTATACACCAGAAGCAACTTAGATATTCCAAAAGTTAATCAGAAATATATTTTGATGATTATGATCAACCTAGAATGCTTATAAACAAGTAGCCATATTGAAGAATACAATGATTTAAAATTAATATGAATACTACAATTTCTAACAATTTTATGCTTTATATTTATTATTGACATTGTACATTTGTATTATTGAATAGTTTCAACGGTAGAATGAAACAATAGTTCAGGATGTTTCTTTTCTTTTTTTTAATTTTAATTTTTCATTAATTGCTTAATTAGGTCAATTATTTCTGTAGGCTGTGTTATGTCCGATCATCTGTTGTTTGGCATTCTTTTATTATTTGTAATAAATATTTTAACATTGAAATTCATCACTAGAAGATTTAGTAACTATTTGTAGTTTTTTTCATCATATATATATATATATATATATATATATATATATATATATATATATATATATATATATATCTGATAGACTATACTGATCAATATAGATAGTCTATCTTACTAACAGCATAATGAAACCTATTTCATATATTTTTTTCCCTTCAAAATTAGAGCTGACATAGACTTAAGTATGTAATTGTAAAGAATATTAGACGAGGTTTAAAAAAAAACACTGTACTGTATCTTCTCAATCCAATAAATATCTATGGTAATTATCTTTGGATTAAATAATTTCAGTCAATCAATATCACATTCTAAACATAATCAGTTTGGATTAATTAGTTAAACTAATGACTATAATACAATATAGATTTATTTAACAATCCAATTTATATTTGATAGAGAGTAAAATCTTACAAATAGAATAAATAATTTCTACATTGTCTAGTATGAGAATCATCAGAAGTGTGCTCGTTAGTGACTAGTTATGTGAGGAAATTCTCGGAGTACTATAGAGAAGCAGTGATCAGTAGGCAGTTACATAGCGAAGAAAATGCGTAAGATCACACAAAACCATAGATTGATCAAAGAGAAACATTAACACCATTAGATGCCAGCTCGTCATCTAGAGGTTAAGCGTTAGCACACGACAAGGAAGGTCCTGGGTTCGATTATCGCTAGGGGAATCATGGACTTACTCTTCTGATGACCCCCATATTAGTATTTAAGGCATTCTAGTGCTTCCAGATTTCTAATGGTAGTCTAGCAATGATCAATTTATAGTTTCAGTGAAACTCAACAGCCTCTATAGCTCTATAGTAAAATGTTTACGATAAAAATTAAACTTAAGTAATATAACTGAAATTTTTAACAAATTGTTAATCGGAAATAAATAAATAGGTTAAATATAAAACAGGAAAAATAGAAATTCATAAAGTTTACTTTTATTCTCATAGATGACATCGTCTATTTAGCGGTTTATTTTATAGATTTTATTGATTTAAATTATGATAATAGTGTTCTTTTATCATGTAAATAACAATTTCAGTTATGTGATCAATAGTAAATCATGGAAAGATATTTTCTTAACAGTGAAAACTACTCTCTATCGATCGATCTATCTATTCACCGATACATTATATATATATTCTCAATATCAAGCCACTTAGATTAGTGATCACCTTGCAGCTTGATTAATACCATACAAACATGACACTGATCACTATTCACTGATCGATCAGTTATCAATAAATCTCAGTCTTGCAGAAATTAAATCACTGCATGAATAGTTCAAATTTTGAAGTAAGTTGATGTGGGCTGAATTATTGCGTGGATTACTAGTTCGCATAAAATTATCTTGGTGAAAGTATCAACTTACTTTGAACTGAATTATATCTCGAATTATCTCCAGATGTCTAATACCATTGGGTTATGTAAGCAGTTAGATATTACATCGTATTGGATTAGTAGACTTTGTTAGTAATACATAAATTCTAGTAATTACTTAATAAACAGAAATCTCTTTTTTCTAATCCTCCTCTTGAAACATACAGAATTTACCTGACAACACTGAATTTAATTGACTTATGTTTACTCGACTTTATTCTTGTTAACGCATTTTTAGTAGGTTTCTTTTATATGGGATGGGGTTCTAAGCCTCATCCCTAGCTTTCCAGCTTAGGACCGGTAATCGTAATCTTGGAAGGCCTTCATGTGGAGTTAGGTCTTAACGACTTATAATACTTCATAAAGGTAATAATAGTAGTAATGAGTTACTCCAAAAACTATTATTGTCAAAAGCACATGTTCAAATCACTGAGAAATTAACTCTGCTAAGATAGGTAACTGGTTTTTAGTTGTAAATTTTTTCACTACTTCATTTATTTCATGAGAGCAAGTAAAATCTTTTAACGATCTACATAATGAATAATAGGGAACTAACCTGATTTACAAATAACTGAAAGATATGGATACAGTGAAGACCAATGAAGCTTCCTCGCACCTCAATATCAATAGATAATGAATTAAATAATCTAGCTTCTTGTAAATAATAGTTTCATGATAATTATTGGTTAATTTAATCAAACATATGCATGGCATATGAATGTCCAATGATTATGGAAAATTTTAAATACTTAATTCTATATGATATTGACAGTTCAATGTGTGTATGTAGGCACGTACTTAGTTATACATGCGTACAGTTATGATTGATTAACAATAAAGCATAATAAAAATTTTGTTGTTAATGAGTCAATTATCTATTTATTTGTTAGTTGTATAATTATTAGGTGAATTCATTTTACATAAATTTAATTTTTATCAATTTCTTACAATACATGTCAATTCAATTAATTATGAACAATTCAAAATTGAACATTGAATTTGTTTGTAATTTCGTGTTGTAGTTATATTAATTTATAAAACTTAATTTAATAATACACAACGGTAAAACATTTTCTTAAATGAGTGATATCTATGTAAAAAAAATAATGAACAAATTATTAATATTTATTACTCTAATTAAAACTCTTATATTTAAATTGATATTTATTTTAGAATTACATGAAAACTAATAATGAAATTGGTATTTATCTATTGTTAACTTTATGATAATTTTTTACATAAAGTAACGTGAACATTTTCAAGATTTTGAAGTCTTTTTTTTTAAATCATTTCATCAGTAGGCATTAAATTAGGTTTTAACAACTCTTAATTAATCAATTGCTATGGTTATTTATTAGCTGCATATACAGCTGCGTATACTCTACTTTCAGTAATACTCATTTTTTCAAAAAAACTTTTATTGACATTGAACGACTTGAATAAGAAGAATTTGAAGATGTTGTCTAGAAGTGCCAAGTTTGAGAAGAATCAATGCTAGTGTGTTGATTATACTAGATCATCATTAGATGTTTAATTTGGTTGTTATTTTTAATTATACATTTTCTAGTGATAAGATAGCTGATTTGATTTCCTGTGGTGGGATTGTAACTGAGCCTTATTCAGAAGTCCCAAGCTAGAACTGAATATCTGTCTAGTGCTTCTTGGTCTAGCTAAGATTTGTTCGTGAAAATCATTTCAGACAATTATATTTACAAAACCCTGAACGTGATTGCATTAGAGAATTTTTGTAGTATACTCTAATTTCTTTCAATTTCCCACTGACTAAGTCTAATTATTCATAAGGAAAATAATGGAATATGTCAGTGATAACCTTTTAAATAGTCATTTCATCACAAGTCACTATTCTGAATAATTGTAACTCACATGATACTAAGTCAGTAGGTATCTAGTGTCATTAGCTAAGTAGACAGAGAATGAAGTGAACTGCACTGGATTTGAGACATAGAATGAACACAAATTCTGGGATTCAGGTAAATTTAATTGACGAGCCCTAAATAAGACGAGACATGCGTCCTGTATTTCCCTGTTAGTTATCGTCTATCTTTGCTTGAAATCGTTTATCACTTAGTGGCAATACCGGGGCAATCAACACAGATTAAACATATGGTTTGTCTTCGTAAAGCACACAATTACAAATCACTTACACTAGTTGTCATATTGTTGGACAATATAACTTGTTTAATGATGAGAAGTCGATCAGCAAAATATTGGGTATTACCGTGCAATCAATTACGGTGTGTTTTTGAATATGTGCCAAATTTTTATTAATAAAGCATATTTTTATACGAAAACTTTAAATAAACAGACTATGATCGTTTGAATATTTATCAGTGTTGTCACTGTCAATTGTCTACTTACCGTGGACAATGAATTTTCTCAGCAATCTGATCTGTTCTAAAGTTTAAATAATAATAATAATAACAACAATAATAGATCATTGCTGTAACGATTTTTGGTTCTCTAATCAATAAATAAGATAAACCAAGCAAACTAATATTACAGTTTTATGTTATTCATGTTTTGTTACATGACACATTATGATCATTGTTAAACAACATGAATTTATGGGTGATTTATGTGAAGAATCAACAGTAATTAGAGATAGTATAGAAAAACTAGAGATGATGATAGAGTTTTATTTCCTCGTAGGATAGAGTAATCATGACATCTAATCGCCTATTGAATGAAGCTGAGATTTTGATTCAATAGTCTAAATGTAACTCAATCGTTATGAGAAATGAAGGTCTCGGATAGAATTCATAGTTTTACTATGCAAACTCACTAGTCATCGAGTGTAGTCATTCGTTTTCGATGATATCTAAACTGAACTATACTCTTGAGGTTAGCCTAATGAGTATCCGAATTATCTTTTCAAATGTAGCAACGAAGACAGAGTTTGTGTAATTCAATTTATACTATTAGAGAAAGCAATTTTCAATATAAAAACGTGAATAGACAGATAGATGAATATAACTTTTCTAAAAATAATTTTCTCTGATGAACTTTTGTCAATTTAATTAAAGATGTTAACATTATTTATCCGTTATTCTCAGTTATTTTCGAAATTTTTCAAGGGTAAAACTGCTTTTTTTATCACAACAGGCTCTCATCAAATGTTAGTTTAATTATATGGGTATAGTGACTGACTTCATATCAAACCATGTTTTGCCGATCTTAATAAACTGTTAGATAATAAGCTTTTTCAATGAAAAAACATAAATTTTTACTAATTAAAAAAGGATTTTTTTGAATGTTTTTTTCTTTTTTACAACAGACAATGATTTTGCACTGTCATTTGATTTATCTTCTTTGTCTAGATGAGCTGATTCATTTATCGGATACAATGATATTAGCTAGCATATAACTATGCTTATTTCATCAAAACTATAGTTAACAAACACGTGTTGTGTAAAAACTTTGTTACATACAAAATTAGATACAGAATAAATTATTTTTGTTGCTCAGTCAAATACTTTCTATTGTTATCTAGCGGAGAAATGAAATTCATTATAACTAACTGAACAAATTGACACTCTTTTTTTTCATGTATTTGTATTATTCTCAAATAAGTTATTCGTTTGAATACGAGAAAAAAATATTTTTCTCATAAACTAATTGTTGATAAGCACAAAAGCAATGAAACATTGTTTCATTCTGGTGTAGGAGTCTACTTACTTAATTATATGTTTTATATATACATGATATCATCTTATCAGAATTAAAATTCAGGATATTTTGGCGTAAAAAATAAAATCATTTAACTTGTTGGATTATATTCCTCAATCCAACATTTTCGATTATTTTTAGAGTGATTAAATTGTTTCACAAATTTCTCTATCAAAATGATTTTGCATCGAATCAATTTGTTCACCTTTTTTAAATTAAATCTGTTATTTCTTTTTTCATTTTTTTTCTTTACTATAGTTTGATTACACAACAAGTTCTGATGTATATGATAGAATTTTAAAAAATAGTATATTAGGTACACGTTTAATTAAAAAATCTGTTATATGCAATCGTCGATCCGGTGCTATAATTGCTTATGGACCAGAAGATTTTACACCATCTATTGAACAAATTAATAAATTTTTAATATTATCACAAGTAAGTAAATATTTATTAGTAGTATTTTTAATGATAATTACAATCTACACAATATGATATGAATTTGATTAGATAACTAAATAAAAAAGAAAACTTCAACGTCATCAGAATAATCCCAATCTGCAATGATCCAGTGTCACTGTATTCCACATTGATATTCTAGAAGTTTTACTATGCTGTGAATGAATGGAAATTCCTTTGCTCTTTTAGAGCATCTGAAGACTTCATCTAACTTTCCGGAAGCCATTCCAAAACTAATAAAAACTGGACAACTGTTTTATTCCACTATAAATTCAATAGTGCATTTTTCTCAACCTTCCAAGGGTTAGATTCAGTATATGCAGTTCTTCTTACAAACAAAGTTGATATTCAGTGGTTGGCAGTTTCAGTAAATCATTATCTAGCGGCATCAATGATACGTGTTTCAATCCTGACATGATTAAACTCTACTGGTCGAGGTCTTTCTTTACAATTGAGATTCTTATCGACAGTACATTTCTATTGCTACCCTAAAGGGTTAGTAAAGTTTGTTAAATAAACAGTTTATTTCACAGAATTACTCGTAGTAAGGTTGTACGGATTCATTCCTAAGGATCCTTATATTATGACTGAACAGTTGTTCAGTGCCTTCTGATTTCTACGATTATTTAGCTAAATTCAATTGGTGACGTCAATATTACTAAATAACTTGCATGAAGAATCGATGCTAATAATAACGGCTAAAAAACTGTTTTAACAGAAATATTTATATAATTTATAGGTACTTTCAATTATGATCTACTTTTAGCCAGACAATTATTAAAAAAATGTGTGAATTTAAGTCATCATGTTCACCATTAGTTGTGTTCTGTATTCAGTAGTGGCTTATAAATGAATAATGTTGAAAAGTTACAGTTTAGGACGAAGCAACTATTGCTTTCTATGTTTTCAAGGATTTTTTTCATCGAACGCTGTCACTTTATAAACTTAAGGAATAATACTCTATCATTGTTATTGTGTAAAATTTGGTTCCATACGAACAAGAGGATTTCAATTTAAAGTGAAGAAATATACTTTACGATGATAAAGAGTTTAATCATTTAGCGATAAAGAGAGAGAGAGAGAGAGAAAGAAATTATCAATCTAATGAGGAATACTTACATTAACAAGACTTGGTATCTATTCTATGATGAAAAATGAACTCTATTATGCATTTAAATTATAAGAGTTTTAGGGAGAAAATAGTTATTTATTACAATGTACTTTGAGCTTTGTTAAGATTTATATCAATTGTTACTGAGAATATAAGATAAATACTTCTTGTATTGACATAATTTCCTATTAGGCTAAAATTCCAAAACTGGTAATTATTATTTTAGTTAGACCACTACTGAAATCATGGAAGTTTTGAAAGATAGTTTCGTTATAGTATGTAACTTCTAAGCAGTGCTCATTCACGACCTCACACATGAGTACCAGGACTTTCAATTTAGTTCATGAACTCTTAACCCTACTTCCCAAGCTCGTAGTCATGGATGAACACTAATAAAAAGTAGTCCAACGTCTTCCTGATTTAGACTACGGTCTCACCAGTGCCACTTCGCGAGTTATTAATGTGAGAATTTTAAGATTTCCACAAGTCCCCGTACACTAATAATCGATTATTAATCAATTTGCACTTAATCATCAGTAAAACTCACTGCTTAATTACGTCCGCATACAAGTGAATGCATGGATGAGCAGTGTCTAACAACTTTTTATATCAACAATCAGTTTATTGTCTTAGTATTTTAGTTTTTATATCGAAATCCAATCTTGAGGAAACTGATATTTTTCATGATAGACTTATGGAGATTGTTGTTAATTGCTGAAATCATGAATCAATCATTGATAGACCACCATCAGGAAGAGACCTGTAAGCAATGGACGGCCGTCTCGTTCTAGTATGGGAATCCTCGGCAGTGCGCACTCATGACTCCAGCTACTCTCACGATTCGAACCCAGGACCTTCGGTCTTGAGAGAGAACGTCTAATCTCTGGACCACTCTCTAACTCTGATCAATCTAGGGATTTTGCGCAGCCTCACGTATTGTCTTCGGTATTTACTGCATACACTCGACAGGGGTGAGCGGTGAAGCTGAAACCTTAGAATGATCAAAGTTAGACATTAACACCATTGGGCGCTGACTCAGTTCTACAGAGGTCGGGAGTTGTCACGCAAGACTGAAGGTTCTGTTTTCAAACCCTGAAAGTAGAAGGAGTCGTGGATAAGCGTCCAGGTTTTTAATGGCGGTCTATTAGTGACTGAATCATGATTTCAGTAAGAAACTGGTATTATTTGTGAAATTCAAATCTACATCACTTTGGTTTAAGCAATGTGATTATGTTCTTATTAGTATTAAAATCAACCTGAAATACGTAATGATAATGTGGTTAGGTTGACATATTACTAAAATTCAACACAAGCTTCAGTTGTATTCATAGATTCAATTATGATTTATATTTGTACCTAAAATAGACTATTTTTCCATAATTATTCATCCTGAGCTGGTAATCGGTTGAAATGTATTCATAGCCAATGAAAATAATATTAATTATGTGTATGTCATCACTTTATATATATATATATATATATAAATACAGGCGTGATATTCTCCTCTTCTTTCATACAACTCTATGATCAAGTTTCTAGAACAAATTCGACGAATGACGTTGACAAATGTAGCATCGAAATGATGGTGAGTGATAATGTGCCGGAAGGGAAAACTTAAGTAAATCTTTTTAGCTACTCGTAAGTAGTGTGAGAAGTATAAATAATGAATAATTTACATGTGGTCAAGTATTGCTCCTGCGGACCGATGAGGATCACATTGTATGTTGAATGATATCTTATCAGTTTATAAACTTACTTAATTATTTACTTACACCTGTTACCCCTAATGGAACATAGGCCGCCATTCAGTATTCCCCAACCTACTCTGTCCTGGGATTCCCTTTCCAGTCCTGTTAAATTTTCATTCATTCCTCTCACGTCTGTCTCAATTTATCGGCGTAATGTGCTCCTTGGCCTGTCACTTTTCCGTTAGCCTTGAGGATTTCAGGTTACGGCTTGTCTTTCGACGCAGTTAGGTGATTACCTCAATGTTTGTCCTATCCACTTCCACCGCTTCTTCCCGATTTCCACCACTAGTGGAATCTGGTTTCTCATCTCCCACGGTAGGGAGATTGGCTTTATGATTGTGATAGTGCATACTGAGCTTTAATCTTTATATATTGAAATGTCTCTTCTAAATAAGTATGTACAAAATGCTTAGTAGGTAGCTCTACTAAGCCACACTGCACTTATTGATTGATATTGGCTATGGTAAAAGAAGTAGTAGTTGTTGCTGTTGTCGTAAGAACAGTTAAACTGTAAAATATACATTAAAATGATTGAATTGTACAGTTTTCTCATCATTTGTATTAGTGGTACATAAAGAGTGGTTTGAAAATATGGGTAATCTGTTAGCAAAGAATCATTCATTTCAACACTGAATGTTATTAGTATTGCTGACTTTCAGTCTGGCAATTATGTTAATTCATTTAAGAGCTAGCTGGCCATACTAATCGCTTACTAACAACTGGTGGTAAGCAAACATCATTATGAATAGGCGTTTGGATTAATATTTCTTTATTTATTAGCCCAATAGTATGACATTTGTTGTTCGAAGGGAGAGTACAAGTGTTGTGATGCGCGATGCTCAGATCTGAAGAAGATTAGTTCCCGCCCCCCGCGCCCCCAACAAAAACTGGCAGCTTGAGGAAGAAAACAAAGAGCAGAAGATGGGAACTTTTTGACTACTGAATAATATGAACTATAGTTGTGTACATATATGTATTCATTTCCTTATAAAGGAAGGTCATTTCTTAATCACTGATATACATTCATGCTTTAGGACATTTTCTAATGGCCATCCAATGTCCTTCTCATTAGATCACTTCTGATTGGCTCAGTATATCAACCAGGTTCAGAACCCAGAGTTAATATGAACACTGAGATGTGTAAAGTAAGTACAGTTGAACAATACTAAATAGGATAAAGTGCACTTTCTTTCTGAAGCTCACAATTAGCTCTAATTCATCTATCCTAAATAATTATTGCTAAAAAAATTTCTTAACACTAACTAGCACACAAACAATGATACAAATATTGATTTGTTTTCTTAGTAAATTTATCTTTTGAATCAAGGACAGTAAACAGTTTCAGGAAAAAATGAATCTAATTAATTTTGTTCTATTTGATAATGAATTCTATTAAGCAGCTAATATCATACATTTATTGCTGATAAAAGTAATGAATCTCCTAGGGTTTTAACAATCAACTTATCTGTATTTTATAAAAGTATCATAATCAATAGGTAGAAACAGTAGATTACATGATTCAGAATTTGCCGTACCAACACAGATGCATTTTGTTTAGCTGTTAAGTTGTGTAATTATTTCATAGTTTTCTATTCCTTAAATTCATTCATTCTTGAATTTAAGATTTCTTATGCATAATTTTCTCTATTACTGATTTCATTGTTAACAGTCCTATTACTCTGCATGTCGTTGTTTAAGTTAATTTACAAAACATAACTGGTCTCATGGTAAATTTTGTGTTAAAGTTCTTGTTGTGATCAAATGCATTGACAAAAGTGTTTAGTGAAAATAGATAATATCCTTCTATTCTAACTCTTACTCCCAAATCTCAGCCACACGTTTCTAAACAGTAGAATGACAAAGCATTTCATTATAGCTGATGATAATCTGTGATAAAGACTCTAACCCTGATATGAAAAAATCAAACTCAGAACTACAGCCTAACTGTTATTATTCAGCCCTAATCTTTTTACATAATGGCTGCTCTCAGTTGGTAACAAAACCTCTGTGGGGTGATAACCATTCTTCACATCATTAACCCTATTATTTTTAATGTAAACTAAGCTTTTCTTTCTGTTACAAAGAATAATTCGACATGTCTGAGGTGACTATTCGGATCAAAGCCACTAATCCACCAATTTTTTAGGAGATCTAGAGAACTGGGTAGCGTTTCCTGATTTGACGATGGACCTCTCAATGTCATCAGCATATTAGATACTTTATTCCACAAAACCATATAAAACTAGGCCTAGATTTTAACCGGAACGATTCATAATTAGAAATCGAAATTAATTTCAAAACTCTCATTCATTGAATTTTACGCTATGCAATTTTACTCTTCACAAGTGAATAAGTAAATGAACAAGTTTAAGATGATTGATAATTTTAGAAATGAACAACAGTTAAACATAGAGGACATGAAGAAATTGTCTAATCTATATGATTAGATAGAATATGAATAAAATTTATGTCTTACAGTAAGTGTATCATTCTAGAATCAATGAATCAAAATCATAATGATTCCAAGTTTTTGACTTCAAACTAATTCAAAATACAGTGTAATCAATTATCAATCAATTTGTTGATTGAAAAAAAGTTCTAAATGTATACTTTTTGACAAGTTGGTTTTTACAATAACTTTTGCATGAAATTACATTGATTGGAAATTGAATAAATTTTTTTAAAAATTTTATTTTTCTCCACATATTTGTAATGAATATTTACATGATAACTTCGATGCTCATCACTGCAACTACTACTACTACTACTGGTCTATTTATTTGTCGTGATAACCTCAAGGCTGAACGAGCTGATCGTGCAATTATAGATAGACATTTTCAAATAGCTATGGATTCTTGTTTATATAAAGATGTTGATGATAAAACTGGTGTACTTCTAGCTGATGTACTACAGTATTATACAAGACCTAATACAAATGAATCGAATGTTGGCAAACATGAATTATCTGGTTTATTAACAAAAAATTCATTATTGATTGGAATCTATGAAGTTGGCAATAGAACTACTAATGATGCTAAACAATTATTACTTGAAATGCGAGATTATTTTGATGCACAAGGAATGTAATTGTTTTTTTTTTCATTTTCTTATTTATTTTATCTAGAAATATTATTTACTGAAGTGGTTTTTGATTAATTTAAATTATAGACTTTGGTTAATTGATGAATGAATTCATCTGCACTTTTATTCTGCTGTTCATTTCAAATTTTTCAATGTTCAATTCTTGTGAAGTTATCTGATGTTTATTTTTAAATAGTTTATATTTGGAATTTGGTTTAAATCACTTCCTTTTTATATTATATATTTTTGGCTTTTATTTTGCTACAGTACATGCAATAAACACATTCTGTGCACCCGGAAATCTGCTGTTAGAAAATGAAATAAGTAACTGGAGGCGCTGATTGATTTGTGATCGAATTCATTGATAGTTGAGCGTAGAAAATGTAGTACAAAAAACTAAATTGTTTGTTTCAATCACATAAATTAGGTCAGATGGCTTAAAATGGATTGGATAAGAAATTTTATCTAACAAGGAAATTTATCACAAGCAAATGGTTTTGACTTACTTTATTCTAGTTTGAATTTAATTTACATTAGTACCTGCCTAAAACAGTTGATTATAATCTGTGACATAAATATTACTGAGTAAGATAGATATACCACTGAATAACTTAAGTAGTAATTGAATTCTAAACATACTAGTGATTGATGAGATTTGTGCATTCAATCATAGGATAATTAGTGCTCAAAACAACACTGTTATTTTACATATTATTATCGATCACCTGCTATTTTCTAGAGTGGACTTTGTTGATACAACAGTTGAATGATTGATTACGAGTAACACTACACAGACCAATGATTTATTAAACTAGATTAATAGGCTCTTATCGACTACGGAACTTCTATTAAAGGTACTTAAAAAGCATTGTTTACTGCATTCCAATATTAGAACGTACTCTGTGCTTTTCACTGTATACGTATATATGACAGTAGCGAGTTACTCCAAGTGAATACTACTTCACATTAGAAGTGGTTTGACTTCCGAGTTGCTTGATCTGCCAAGGGCGATGGGACAGTGCATGACGCTATTGTTGTGTGCTAGGCTCAAAGACAGTCGTATGCTACATGGATGCACTCCACCCCCCTTGTTGTTCCCATTAACTCAGCCTGAAGACCATCCGGGGATACTGCCGGTCCTAAGCCCGGATAAAGGAGGAGGGTTGGGCATGGGATTGGCGATCCCATCCAGCAAAAGATCTAACTGGATAAAAAACATTTTACTGTTTAAAAACAATTGGCGCTACATTTATTATCATTCTCATAAACAACGAAACACGAATAATTTAATATCTAACTATTGTTTTGCATACAAATAAAAATGCAGTATCACTAAAAAGATAACGGACAAAACCTTAAAACTGCAATATGAATGTGAATCAGACATTGGTAATGCAGAAACTGGTATTATTACACTCTGGATCAACTTGTCACATGACATCAGTATAGTAAGAAGAAGTTATTTTGACTAATCCTGGTGTAGTACAAGCAGAAACGGTATAAAAGGTTAGGGATGGTTGAATATTGTGATTTGAAATGAAAGAACATAATGTATAAGATCATTTTAGAGCTTAAGATTTAAGGAAAGAAAAAAGCAAGCGCGTTTGTGATCGATTTCGTACTGCGTTGTCCAGCGCCTCCAATCATTGGTTACGCTAATTGCACAAATGCTAAAAGTCAGTGACTTCACTGACTGATAGAATGTTTTGCTTTGACAACCTGTAGCTTTATTTCTACCAATGTCTACTTAAGCTAAGATTGTGCTTTTAAATAGATATTAGTTGACTTTATGTACCACGTAAACCAACCATCTCAACAGATAAAGTGGGACGAGTTATGTGAATCAGTAAAATCAACATTATTTTCTAATAAGTACTAATGATTGAATACAGTATTGTATTTATCTGTTTAATAATCAAATAGAACTGTTAAAAAAAAATAGTATCAAGAATTATTATACACATCTACCATTAAAACTTTCGATATGAGATTTGATTTTGTCTTGTAAAATTTAAACAAACTTATGTATCATTTTGAATCATGTAATAAACTTAAATAAACCCTGATTAGTCATATCGATTAATATACGAATTAATTCTAAGTCGATTATTTACGCATTTGTATGGTTTTGATTATTTCGAAACAATTGTTTCTTTATAGTTAAATAATACTCAACAGTTTATAACAATGATACTATTATCTAGGCTGCTTAATAGTTTGCAATAAGCGAATCGTCTGAATTCGTTTAACTATTATACTTTAATGATTTTTATGATAAAAAGCATGGAGTATCTGTCAGTTCAATAATGCCTATTAGAAATCGTGAGTTAGTGAACATTATCGTGAAATTACAAACTAGGATGGTAGTGTTAATTCAGTGATGAAAGTTAACTTCAAACTGTCACCTCCATGAGTACTACTACTATTATTAATAGTAGTGATGCTGATAGTACCCTAATTCAATTCATCATTTTAACTAATTCATGACATGTGAAGTGGGAGGAATGAAGGAGACTAGTAGTAGAAGAGTAATGTTGAATTTTTCTGAATAATTTATCATTGTAACATATGGTTTAAGAAATAATTTGAAAATAAATAAGGGTAAAATCGGTCGATAATCATATTCACGAGTGACTTATTTTCAGCTAATACTCTCTGTTTTTATGTCTTGTTGTTCACATATTATGAGAATTAAATTGTAAAAGGCTGAAATATAAACAAAATTAAAAATTTCTCACCAATATACATATATATATATATATATTGTATACACTGTTTTAAGATGATGAATATAACTAAATTAAACAATTGTTTTCGAGTTCCAGTTCTATTTAAATTGGAAAGAATCCACTTATTTTCAGTTGGACATTGAACTTCTAACAATTTAATACAATTTTTTTTTCTAAGAAAAAAGGGCATTTAGCTCTATCTGTCTATTCATTCTGTGTAGTAGTGTCTCACATCAATGTCTGTCATAGATTTTTACCCATATATGCATAGTAAGACAGGCAAATAATAAGTCTGTCTGGATTAATAAATCGATTAGGAAAATTCTAAATTCAAACTATACTATATTTACTGCATAGTTTGATTAGAATTTTCCTAATCGATTTATTAATCCAGACAGACTTATTATATGCCTGTCTTACTATGCATATATGGGTAAAAATCTATGACAGACATTGATGTGAGACACTACTACACAGAATGAATAGACAGATAGAGCTAAATGCCCTTTTTTCTTAGAAAAAAAAATTGTATTAAATTGTTAGAAGTTCAATGTCCAACTGAAAATAAGTGGATTCTTTCCAATTTAAATAGAACTGGAACTCGAAAACAATTGTTTAATTTAGTTTTATTCATCATCTTAAAACAGTGTATACAGTATATATATACATATATATTGGTGAGAAATTTTTAATTTTGTTTATATTTCAGCCTTTTACAATTTAATTCTCATAATATGTGAACAACAGGACATAAAAACTGAGAGAGTATTAGCTGAAAATAAGTCACTCGTGAATATGATTATCGACCGATTTTACCCTTATTTATTTTCAAATTATTTCTTAAACCATGTTACAATGATAAATTATTCAGAAAAATTCAACATTACTCTTCTACTACTAGTCTCCTTCATTCCTCCCACTCCACATGTCATGAATTAGTTAAAATGATGAATTGAATTAGGGTACTATCAGCATCACTACTATTAATAATAGTAGTCGTACTCATGGAGGTGACAGTTTGAAGTTAACTTTCATCATTGAATTAACACTACCATCCTAGTTTGTAATTTCACGATAATGTTCACTAACTCACGATTTCTACTACGCATTATTGAACTGACAGATACTCCATGCTTTTTATCATAAAAATCATTAAAGTATAATAGTTAAACGAATTCAGACGATTCACTTATTGCAAACCATTAAGCAGCCTAGATCATAGTATCATTGTTGTAAACTGTTGAGTATTATTTAACTATAACGAAACAATTGTTTCGAAATAATCGTAACCATACAAATGCGTAAATAATCGACTAAGAATTAATTCGTATATTAATCGATATGACTAATCAGGTTTTATTTAAGTTTATTACATGATTCAAAATGATACATAAGTTTGTTTAAATTTTACAAGACAAAATCAAATCTCATATCGAAAGTTTTAATGGTAGATGTGTATAATAATTCTTGATATTATTTTTTTTTAACAGTTCTATTTGATTATTAAACAGATAAATACAATACTGTATTCAATCATTAGTACTTATTAGAAAATAATGTTGATTTTACTGATTCACATAACTCGTCCCACTTTATCTGTTGAGATGGTTGGTTTACGTGGTACATAAAGTCAACTAATATCTATTTAAAAGCACAATGTTAGCTTAAGTAGACATTGGTAGAAATAAAGCTACAGGTTGTCAAAGCAAAACATTCTATCAGTCAGTGAAGTCACTGACTTTTAGCATTTGTGCAATTAGCGTAACCAATGATTGGAGGCGCTGGACAACGCAGTACGAAATCGATCACAAACGCGCTTGCTTTTTTCTTTCCTTAAATCTTAAGCTCTAAAATGATCTTATACATTATGTTCTTTCATTTCAAATCACAATATTCAACCATCCCTAACCTTTTATACCGTTTCTGCTTGTACTACACCAGGATTAGTCAAAATAACTTCTTCTTACTATACTGATGTCATGTGACAAGTTGATCCAGAGTGTAATAATACCAGTTTCTGCATTACCAATGTCTGATTCACATTCATATTGCAGTTTTAAGGTTTTGTCCGTTATCTTTTTAGTGATACTGCATTTTTATTTGTATGCAAAACAATAGTTAGATATTAAATTATTTGTGTTTCGTTGTTTATGAGGATGATAATAAATGTAGCGCCAATTGTTTTTAAACAGTAAAATGTTTTTTATCCAGTAAGATCTTTTGCTGGATGGGATCGCCAATCCCATGCCTAACCCTCCTCCTTTATCCGGGCTTAGGACCGGCAGTACCCCCGGATGGTCTTCAGGCGGAGTTAATCGGAACAACAAGGGCGGTGGAGTGCATGCATTTAGCAAACGACTGTCTTTGAACCTAGCACACAACAATAGCGTCATGCACTGTCCCATCGCCCTTGGAAGATCAAGCAACTCGAAAGTTAAACCACTTCTAATGTGAAGTAGTATTCACTGGGAGTAACTCGCTACTGTCATATAAACGTATACAGTGAAAAGCATGAAGTACATTCTAATACTGGAATGCAGTAAACAATGCTTTCTAAGTACCTTTAATAGAAGTTCAGTAGTCGATAAGAGCATATTAATCTAGTTTAATAAATCATTGGTCTGTGTAGTGTTACTCGTAATCAATCATTCAACTGTTGTATCAACAAAGTCCACTCTAGAAAATAGCAGGTGATCGATAATAATATGTAAAATAACAGTGTTGTTTTGAGCACTAATTATCCTATGATTGAATGCACAAATCTCATCAATCACTACTATGTTTAGAATTCAATTAATACTTAAGTTATTCAGTGGTATATCTATCTTACTCAGTAATACTTATGTCACAGATTATAATCAACTGTTTTAGGCAGGTACTAATGTAAATTAAATTCAGACTAGAATAAAGTAAGTTAAAACCATTTGCTTGTGATAAATTTCCTTGTTAGATAAAATTTCTTATCCAATCCATTTTAAGCCATCTGACCGAATTTATGTGATTGAAACAAACGATTTAGTTTTTTGTACTACATTTTCTACGCTCAACTATCAATGAATTCGATCACAAATCAATCAGCGCCTCCAGTTACTTATTTCATTTTCTAACAGCAGATTTCCGGGTGCACAGAATGCGTTTATTGCATGTACTGTAGCAAAATAAAAGCCAAAAATATATAATATAAAAAGGAAGTGATTTAAACCAAATTCCAAATATAAACTATTTAAAAATAAACATCAGATAACTTCACAAGAATTGAACATTGAAAAATTTGAAATGAACAGCAGAATAAAAGTGCAGATGAATTTATTCATCAATTAACCAAAGTCTATAATTTAAATTAATCAAAAACCACTTCAGTAAATAATATTTCTAGATAAAATAAATAAGAAAATGAAAAAAAAAACAATTACATTCCTTGTGCATCAAAATAATCTCGCATTTCAAGTAATAATTGTTTAGCATCATTAGTAGTTCTATTGCCAACTTCATAGATTCCAATCAATAATGAATTTTTTGTTAATAAACCAGATAATTCATGTTTGCCAACATTCGATTCATTTGTATTAGGTCTTGTATAATATTGTAGTACATCAGCTAGAAGTACACCAGTTTTATCATCAACATCTTTATATAAACAAGAATCCATAGCTATTTGAAAATGTCTATCTATAATTGCACGATCAGCTCGTTCAGCCTTGAGGTTATCACGACAAATACATAGACCAGTAGTAGTTGCAGTGATGAGCATCGAAGTTATCATGTAAATATTCATTACAAATATGTGGAGAAAAATAAAATTTTTAAAAATATTTATTAAATTTCCAATCAAAATAATTTCATGCAAAAGTTATTGTAAAAACCAACTTGTCAAAAAGTATACATTTAGAACTTTTTTTCAATCATCAAATTGATTGATCATTGATTATACTGTATTTTGAATTAGTTTAAAGTCAAAAACTTGGAATCATTATGATTTTGATTCATTGATTCTAGAATGATACACTTACTGTAAGACATAAATTCTATTCATATTCTATCTAATCATATAGATTAGACAATTTCTTCATGTTCTCTATGTTTAACTGTTGTTCATTTCTAAAATTATCAATCATCTTAAACTTGTTCATTCACTTATTCACTTGTGAAGTAAAATTGCATAGTGCAAAATTAAATGAATGAGAGTTTTGAAATTAATTTCGATTTCTAATTTTGAATCGTTCCGGTTAAAATCTAGGCCTAGTTTTATATGGTTTTGTGGAAAAAAGTATCTAATATGCTGATGGCCTTGAGAGGTTCATCGTCCAATCAGGAAACGCTACCCAGTTCTCTAGATCTCCTAAAAAATTGGTGAAATAGTGGCTTTGATCCGAACAATCACCTCAGACATGTCGAATTATCCTTTGTAATAGAAAGAAAAGCTTAGTTTACATTAAAAATAATAGGGTTAATGATGTGAAGCATGGTTATCACCCCACAGAGTTTTTGTTACCAACTGAGAGCAGCCATTATGTAAAAAGACTAGGGCTGAACAATAACAGTTAGGCTGTAGTTCTGAGTTTGATTTTTTCGTATCAGGGTTAGAGTTTTTATCACAAATTATCATTGGCTATGATGCAATGCTTTGTCATTCTACTGTTTATAAACTTGTGGCTGAGATTTAGAGTAAGAGTTAGAATAGAAGGATATTATCTATTTTCACTAAACACTTTTGTCAACGCACTTGATCACAACAAGAACTTTAACACAAAATTTACCATGACACCAGTTATGTTTTGTAAATTGACTTAAACAACGACATACAGAGTAATAGGACTGTTAACAATGAAATCAGTAATAGAGAAAATTATGCATAAGAAATCTTAAATTCAAGAATGAATGAATTTAAGGAATAGAAAACTATGAAATAATTACACAACTTAACAGCTAAACAAAATGCATTTGTGTCGGTACGGCAAATTCTGAATCATGTCATCTACTGTTTCTGCCTATTGGTTATGATACTTTTATGATTGACTATTAATTACAATATAAAATACAGATAAGCTGATTGTTAAAACCCTAGGAGATTCATTACTTTTATCGGCAATAAATGTATGATATTAGCTGCTTAATAAAATTCATCATCAAACAGAACAAAATTAATTAGATTCATTTTTTCCTGAAAGTGTTTACTGTCCTTGATTCAAAAGATAAATTTACTAAGAAAACTAATCAATATTTGTATCATTGTTTGTGTCCTAATTAGTGTTAAGAAATTTTTTTAGCAATAATTATTTAGGATAGATGAATTAGAGCTAATTGTGAGCTTCAGAAAGAAAGTGCAGTTTATCCTATTTAGTATTGTTCAACTGTACTTACTTTACACATCTCAGTGTTCATATTAACTCTGGGTTCTGAACCTGGTTGATATACTGAGCCAATCAGAAGTGATCTAATGAGAAGGACATTGGATGGCCATTAGAAAATGTCCTAAAGCATGAATGTATATCAGTGATTAAGAAATGACCTTCCTTTATAAGGAAATGAATACATACATGTACACAAGTAAGGTTCATATTATTCAGTAGTCAAAAAGTTCCTATCTTCTGGTCTTTGTTTTCTCCCTCAAGCTGCCAGTTTTTGTTGGGGGCGCTGGGGGCGGGAACTTATCTCCTTCAGATCTCGTCATCGCGCATCACAACACTTGTACTCTCCCTTCGAACAACAAATGTCATGCTATAAATTAAGGAATATTAATCCAAACGCCTATTCATAATGATGTTTGTTTACCACCAGTTGTTAGTAAGCGATTAGTATGGCCAGCTAGCTCTTAAATGAATTAACATAATTGCCAGACTGAAAGTCAGCAATACTAATAACATTCAGTGTTGAAATGAATGATTCTTTGCTAACAGATTACCCATAATTTCAAACCACTCTTTATGTACCACTAATACAAATGATGAGAAAACTGTACAATTCAGTCATTTTAATGTATATTTTACAGTTTAACTGTTCTTACGACAACAGCAACAGCTACTACTTCTTTTACCATAGCCAATATCAATCATTAAGTGCAATGTGGCTTAGTAGAGCTACCTACTAAGCATTTTGTACATACTTATTTAGAAAAGACAATTCACTATATAGATTAAAGCTCAGTATGCACTATCACAATCATAAAGCCAATCTCCCTACCGTGGGAGATGAGAAACCAGATTCCACTAGTGGTGGAAATCAGGAAGAAGCGGTGGAAGTGGATAGGACAAACATTGAGGTAATCACCTAACTGCGTCGAAAGACAAGCCGTAACCTGAAATCCTCAAGGCTAACGGAAAAGTGACAGGCCAAGGAGCACATTACGCCGATAAATTGAGACAGACGTGAGAGGAATGAATGAAAATTTAACAGGACTGGATAGGGAATCCCAGGACAGAGTAGGTTGGGAAATACTGATTGGCGGCCTATGTTCCATTAGGTGTAACAGGCGTAAGTAAATAATTAAGTAAGTTTATAAACTGATAAGATATCATTCAACATACAATGTGATCCTCATCGGTCAGTAGGAGCAATACTTGACCACATGTAAATTATTCATTATTTATACTTCTCACACTACTTACGAGTAGCTAAAAAGATTTACTTAAGTTTTCCCTTCCGGCACATTATCACTCACCATCATTTCGATGCTACATTTGTCAACGTCATTCGTCGAATTTGTTCTAGAAACTTGATCATAGAGTTGTATGAAAGAAGAGGGGAATATCACGCCTGTATTTATATATATATATAAAGTGATGACATACACATAATTAATATTATTTTCATTGGCTATGAATACATTTCAACCGATTACTAGCTCAGGATGAATAATTATGGAAAAAATAGTCTATTTTAGGGACAAATATAAATCATAATTGAATCAATGAATACAATTGAAACTTGTGTTGAATTTCAGTAATATGTCAACCTAACCACATTATCATTACGTATTTCAGGTTGATTTTAATACTAATAAGAACATAATCACATTGCTTAAACCAAAGAGATGTAGATTCGAATTTCACAGATAGTACCAGTTTCTTACTGAAATCATGATTCAGTCACTGTTAGACCGCCATTAAAAACCTGGACGCTTATCCACGACTCCTTCTACTTTCAGGGTTTGAAAACAGAACCTTTAGTCTTGCGTGACAACTCCCGACCTCTGTAGAACTGAGTCAGCGCCCAATCGTGTTAATGTCTAACTTTGATCATTCTAAGGGTTCAGCTGCACCGCTCACCCCTGTCGAGTGTATGCAGTAAATACCGAAGACAATACGTGAGGCTGCGCAAAATCCCTAGATTGATCAGAGTTAGAGAGTGGTCCAGAGATTAGGCGTTCTCTCTCAAGACCGAAGGTCCTGGGTTCGAATCGTGAGAGTAGCTGGAGTCATGAGTGCGCACTGCCGAGGATTCCCATACTAGAACGAGACGGCCGTCCATTGCTTACAGGTTTCTTCTTGATGGTGGTCTAACAATGATTCATTCATGAGTTCAATAATAAACAACAATCGCCATAAGTCTATAATGAAAAATATCAGTTTCCTCAAGATTGGATTTCGATATAAAAACTAAAATACTAAGACAATAAACTGATTATTGATATAAAAAGTTGTTAGACACTGCTCATCCATGCATTCACTTGTATGCGGACGTAATTAAGCAGTGAGTTTTACTGATGATTAAGTGCAAATCGATTAATAATCGATTATTAGCGTAGGGGGACTTGTGGAAATCTTAAAATTCTCACATGATTAAATCGCAAATAGGCACTGGTGAGACCATAGTCTAAATCAGGAAAACGTTGGACTACTGTTTCACCCTATTACAAGACTCTTTATTAGTGTTCATCCATGACTATGAGCGTGGGAAGTAGGGTTAAGAGTTCATGAACTAAGTTGAAAGTCCTGGTACTCATGTGTGAGGTCGTGAATGAGCACTGCTTAGAAGTTACATACTATAACGAAACTATCTTTCAAAACTTCCATGATTTCAGTAGTGGTCTAACTAAAATAATAATTACCAGTTTTGGAATTTTAGCCTAATAGGAAATTATGTCACTACAAGAAGTATTTATCTTATATTCTCAGTAACAATTGATATATGTCTTAACAAAGCTCAAAGTACATTGTAATAAATTACTATTTTCTCCCTAAAACTCTTATAATTTAAATGCATAATAGAGTTCATTTTTCATCATAGAATAGATACCAAGTCTTGTTAATGTAAGTATTCCTCATTAGATTGATAATTTCTTTCTCTCTCTCTCTCTTTTTATCGCTAAATGATTAAACTCTTTATCATCGTAAAGTATATTTCTTCTCTTTAAATTGAAATCCTCTTGTTCGTTTGGAACCAAATTTTACACAATAACAATGATAGAGTATTATTTCTTAAGTTTGTAAAGTGACAGCGTTTGATGAAAAAAATCCTTCAAAACATAGAAAGCAATAGTTGCTTCGTCCTAAACTGTAACTTTTCAACATTATTCATTTATAAGCCACTACAGAATACAGAACACAACTAATGGTGAACATGATGACTTAAATTCACACATTTTTTTAATAATTGTCTAGCTAAAAGTAGATCATAATTGAAAGTACCTATAAATTATATAAATATTTCTGTTAAAACAGTTTTTTAGCCGTTATTATTAGCATCGATTTTTCATGCAAGTTATTTAGTAATATCTACGTCACCAATTGAATTTAGCTAAATAATCGTAGAAATCAGAAGGCACTGGACAACTGTCCAGTCATAATATAAGGATCCCTACAACCTTACTAAGAGTAATTCTGTGAAATAAACTGTTTATTTAACAAACTTTACAAACCCTTGACGGTAGCAATAGAAATGTACTGTTGATAAGAATCTCAATTGTAAAGACAGACCTCGACCAGTAGAGTTTAATCATGTCAGGATTGAAACAAGTATCATTGATGACGCTAGATAATGATTTACTGAAACTGCCAACCACTGAATATCAACTTTGTTTGTAAGAAGAACTGCATATACTGAATCTAACCCTCGGAAGGTTGAGAAAAATTCACTATTGAATTTATAGTGGAATAAAACAGTTGTCCAGTTTTTATTAGTTTTGGAATGGCTTCCAGAAAGTTAGATGAAGTCTTCAGATGCTCTAAAAGAGCAAAGGAATTTCCATTCATTCACAGCATAGTAAAACTTCTAGAATATCAATGTGGAATACAGTGACACTGGATCATTGCAGATTGGGATTATTCTGATCACGTTGAAGTTTTATTTTTATTCAGTTATCTAATCAAATTCATATCATATTGTGTAGATTGTAATTATCATTAAAAATACTACTAATAAATATTTACTTACTTGTGATAATATTAAAAATTTATTAATTTGTTCAATAGATGGTGTAAAATCCTCTGGTCCATAAGCAATTATAGCACCGGATCGACGATTGCATATAACAGATTTTTTAATTAAACGTGTACCTAATATACTATTTTTTAAAATTCTATCATATACATCAGAACTTGTTGTGTAATCAAACTATAATGAAAAAAAAAAGAAAGAAGAAATAACAGATTTAATTTAAAAAAGGTGAACAAATTGATTCGATGCAAAATCATTTTGATAGAGAAATTTGTGAAGCAATTTAATCACTCTAAAAGTAATCGAAGATATTATTGAATTGAGGAATATAATTCAACATGTTAAACACATTTTACTGGCTAGAGAATGTTGATTTTACGTGATTTTACAGTTAAATGATTTTATTTTTTACACTAAAATATCCTGAATTTTAATTCTGATAAGATGATGTCATGTATATATTAAACATATAATTAAGTAAGTAGACTCCTACACCAGAATGAAACAATGTTTCATTGCTTTTGTGCTTATCAACAATTAGTTTATGAGAAAAATATTTTTTTCTCGTATTCAAACGAATAACTTATTTGAGAATAATACAAATACATGAAAAAAAGTGTGTCAATTTGTTCAGTTAGTTATAATGAATTTCATTTCTCCGCTAGATAACAATAGAAAGTATTTGATTGAGAAACAAAAATAATTTATTCTGTATCTAATTTTGTATGTAACAAAGTTTTTACACAACACGTGTTTGTTAACTATAGTTTTGATGAAATAAGCATAGTTATATGCTAGCTAATATCATTGTATCCGATAAATGAATCAGCTCATCTAGACAAAGAATATAAATCAAATTACAGTGCAAAATCATTGTCTGTTGTAAAAAAGAAAAAAACATTCAAAAAAATCCATTTTTAATTTGTAAAAATTTATTTTTTTCATTGAAAAATCTTATTATCTAACAGTTTATTAAGATCGGCAAAACATGGTTTGATATGAAGTCAGTCACTATACCCATATACTTAAACTAACATTTGATGAGAGCCTGTTGTGATAAAAAAAAAGCAGTTTTACCCTTGAAAATTTTCGAAAATTACTGACAATAACGGATAAATAATGTTAACATCTTTAATTAAATTGACAAAAGTTCATCAGAGAAAATTATTTTTAGAAAAGTTATATTCATCTATCTGTCTATTCACGTTTTTATATTGAAAATTGCTTTCTCTAATAGTATAAATTGAATTACACAAACTCTGTCTTCGTTGCTACATTTGAAAAGATAATTCGGATACTCATTAGGCTAACCTCAAGAGTATAGTTCAGTTTAGATATCATTGAAAACGAATGACTACACTCGATGACTAGTGAGTTTGCATAGTAAAACTATGAATTCTATCCGAGATCTTCATTTCTCATAACGATTGAGTTAGTTACATTTAGACTATTGAATCAAAATCTCAGCTTCATTCAATAGGCGATTAGATGTCATGATTACTCTATCCTAGGCGGGAATAAAACTCTCTAGTAATCTCTAGTTTTTCTATACTATCCCAAACTACTGTTGATTCTTCACATAAATCACCCATTAATTCATGTTGTTTAACAATGATCATAATGTGTCATGTAACAAAACATGAATAACATAAAACTGTAATATTAGTTTGCTTGGTTTATCTTATTTATTGATTAGAGAACCAAAAATCGTTACAGCAATAATCTATTATTGTTGTTATTATTATTATTATTTAAACTTTAGAACAGATCAGATTGCTGAGAAAATTCATTGTCCGCAGTAGGTAGACATTTGACAGTGACAACACTAATAAATATTCAAACGATCATAGTCTGTTTATTTAAAGTTTTCGTATAAAAATGCTTTATTAATAAAAATTTGGTACATATTCAAAAACACACCGTAATTGATTGCACGGTAATACCCAATATTTTGCTGGTCGACTTCTCATTATTAAACAAGTTATATTGTCCAACAATATGACAACTAGTGTAAGTGATTTGTAATTGTGTACTTTACGAAGACAAGCCATATGTGTAATCTGTGTTGATTGCCCCGATATTGCCACTAAGTGACAAACGATTTCAAGCAAAGATAGACGATAACTAACAGCGAAATACAGGACGCATGTCTCGTCTTATTTAGGGCTCGTCAACTAAATTTAACTGAATCCCAGTATTTGTGTTCATTCCATGTCTCGAATCCAGTGCAGTTCACTTCAATCTCTGTCTACTTAGCTAATGACATTAGATACGTACTGATTTAGTATCATGTGAGTTACAATTATTCAGAATAGTGACTTGTGATGAAATGACTATTTAAAAGGTTATCACTGACATATTCCATTATTTTCCTTATGAATAATTAGACTTAGTCAGTGGGAAATTGAAAGAAATTAGAGTATACTACGAAAATCCTTTAATACAATCACGTTCAGGGTTTTGTAAATATAATTGTCTGAAATGATTTTCACGAACAAATCTTAGCTAAACCATGAAGCACTAGACAGATATTCAGTTCTAGCTTGGGACTTCTTAATAAGGCTCAGTTACAATCCCACCACAGGAAATCAAATCAGCTATCTTATAACTAGAAAATGTATAATTAAAAATAACAACCAAATTAAACATCTAATGATGATCTAGTATAATCAACACATTAGCATTGATTCCTCTCAAACTTGGCACTTCTAGACAACATCTTCAAATTCTTCTTATTCAAGTCGTTGCATGTCATTAAAAGTTTTTTTGAAAAAATGAGTATTACTGAAAGTAGAGTATACGCAGCTATATATGCAGCTAATAAATAACAATAGCAATTAATTAATTAAAAGTTGTTAAAACCTAATTTAATGCCTACTGATGAAATGATTCAAAAAAAATGACTTCAAAATCTTGAAAATGTTCACGTTACTTTATGTAAAAAATTATCATAAAGTTAGCAATATAAGTTTTAATTAGAGTAATAAATATTAATAATTTGTTCATTATTTTTTTCTACATAGATATCACTCATTTAAGAAAATGTTTTACCGTTGTGTATCATTAAATTAAATTTTATAAATTAATATAACTACAACACGAAATTACAAACAAATTACAATGTTCACATTCAATGTTCAATTTTGAATTGTTCACAATTAATTGAATTGACATGTATTGTAAGAAATTGATAAAAATTAAATTTATGTAAAATGAATTCACCTGATAATTATACAACTAACAAATAGATAGATAATTGACTCATTAACAACAAAATTTTTATTGTGCTTTATTGTTAATCAATCATCATAACTGTACGCATGTATAAATAAGTACGTGCCTACATACACACATTGAACTGTCAATATCATATAGAATTAAGTATTTAAAATTTTCCATAATCATTGGACATTCATATGCCATGCATAGGTTTGATTAAATTAACCAATAATTATCATGAAACTATTATTTACAAGAAGTTAGATTATTTAATTCATTATCTATTGATATTGAGGTGCGAGGAAGCTTCATTGGTCTTCACTGTCTCCATATCTTTCAGTTATTTGTAAATCAGGTTAGTTCCCTATTATTTATTATGTAGATCGTTAAAAGATTTTACTTGCTCTCATGAAATAAATGAAGTAGTGAAAAAATTTACAACTAAAAACCAGTTACCTATCTTAGCAGAGTTAATTTCTCAGTGATTTGAACATGTGCTTTTGACAATAATAGTTTTTGGAGTAACTCATTACTACTATTATTACCTTTATGAAGTATTATAAGTCGTTAAGACCTAACTCCACATGAAGGCCTTCCAAGATTACGATTACCGGTCCCAAGCTGGAAGGCTAGAAATGGGGCTTAGAACCCCATCCCATATGAAAGAAACCTACTAAAAATGCGTTAACACGAATAAAGTCGAGTAAACATAAGTCAATTAAATTCAGTGTTGTCAGGTAAATTCTGTATGTTTCAAGAGGAGGATTAGAAAAAAGAGATTTCTGTTTATTAAGTAATTACTAGAATTTATGTATTACTAACAAAGTCTACTAATCCAATACGATGTAATATCTAACTGCTTACATAACCCAATGGTATTAGACATCTGGAGATAATTCGAGATATAATTCAGTTCAAAGTAAGTTGATACTTTCACCAAGATAATTTTATGCGAACTAGTAATCCACGCAATAATTCAGCCCACATCAACTTACTTCAAAATTTGAACTATTCATGCAGTGATTTAATTTCTGCAAGACTGAGATTTATTGATAACTGATCGATCAGTGAATAGTGATCAGTGTCATGTTTGTATGGTATTAATCAAGTTGCAAGGTGATCACTAATCTAAGTGGCTTGATATTGAGAATATATATATAATGTATCGGTGAATAGATAGATCGATCGATAGAGAGTAGTTTTCACTGTTAAGAAAATATCTTTCCATGATTTACTATTGATCACATAACTGAAATTGTTATTTACATGATAAAAGAACACTATTATCATAATTTAAATCAATAAAATCTATAAAATAAACCGCTAAATAGACGATGTCATCTATGAGAATAAAAGTAAACTTTATGAATTTCTATTTTTCCTGTTTTATATTTAACCTATTTATTTATTTCCGATTAACAATTTGTTAAAAATTTCAGTTATATTACTTAAGTTTAATTTTTATCGTAAACATTTTACTATAGAGCTATAGAGGCTGTTGAGTTTCACTGAAACTATAAATTGATCATTGCTAGACTACCATTAGAAATCTGGAAGCACTAGAATGCCTTAAATACTAATATAGGGGTCATCAGAAGAGTAAGTCCATGATTCCCCTAGCGATAATCGAACCCAGGACCTTCCTTGTCGTGTGCTAACGCTTAACCTCTAGATGATGAGCTGGCATCTAATGGTGTTAATGTTTCTCTTTGATCAATCTATGGTTTTGTGTGATCTTACGCATTTTCTTCGCTATGTAACTGCCTACTGATCACTGCTTCTCTATAGTACTCCGAGAATTTCCTCACATAACTAGTCACTAACGAGCACACTTCTGATGATTCTCATACTAGACAATGTAGAAATTATTTATTCTATTTGTAAGATTTTACTCTCTATCAAATATAAATTGGATTGTTAAATAAATCTATATTGTATTATAGTCATTAGTTTAACTA